GTGCAGAAGGTATTGAGAGCTCAGGGAGAACCGTTTTGTTGCCTGGTGTCGTGGTGTCGCTGGATGCCAGCCTGCAGTGATTGGAGAGTGAACAGGCAGTGATGAATGAGGACAGTTAGTGTAGACCACTCTAAAAATGATTGGCTGTGCAAAGGGAGTAAGTAGTAGCTTAAAGGGAATGTGCAGTTACAGGAAATTTATATTTGTATTTGAATGTGATCATTCCGATTCCCTTCCCTTCCCTTCCCTTCCTCCTTCCTCCCTTTCCCCTCTCCCTTTTCCCTTCCCTTCCCCTCTCCTTCTTTCCCTCCTTCCCTCCTTCCCTCCTTCCCTTCCCTCCTTTCCCTTTCCTTTCCTTTTCCTTTCCTCTTTCCTCTTGCTTTTTTTTTTTTTTTTTTTTGAGACAGAGTCTCACTCTGTTTTCCAGGCTGGAGTGCAGTGGCGTGGATCCAGGCTCACTGCAACTCCGCTCTTTGGGTTCAAGCGATTCTCATGCCTCAGCCCTCCTGAGTAACTGGGATTACAGGGCATGCGCCACCGCAAACCCAAGCTAATTTTTTGTATTTTTAGTAGAGATGAGGTTTCACCATGTTGGTCAGGCTGGTCTCAAACTCCTGACCTCAGGTGATCCACCTGCTTCAGCCCCCTAAAATTACTGGGATTACAGGCATGAGCCACCGTGCCCGGCCCCAGATTTCCCTTCTATGCTGGACAGGTAAATAAGGAAAAATTGAAGATAAAGGGTAAGAGAGGAGATATGGTAAACAATGATGACCCCCAGTAAACCGCAACTTCTGGGCTTCATTTCCCTATGACATGGGCCTTAACATTGCTTTGACCAATGTGACATTAGCAAACATGATGCCAGCAGAAACTTGGTAAACCTTTGCACATTGGAGTTTTTCCTCTGGGTGGAAGCTATCAGCCGTGCTGTACAAAAGCTTGAACCAGACTACTGAATGATGAGAGACCACGTGCCCAGAACCTTGCAGGATAACAGACCCTCCTGGATGATTCAGCCCCAGATGTGCTCCTACCTCACTGAAGCCAAATGAATTAACTCCAGACAAAATCAGCAGAAGAATCATGCAGTCGAGCCCAATCCAGATTGGATAATTATGAGCAAATAAAAGGATGTGATTGTAAGCCATTTAATGTGAGGGTATACTGTTTTACAGCAACTGATAACCACAACAAGGAAAAATGGATCAGTTGCCAAAACCATTAGCAAGAAAATATTTCATAACAATTAAAGGCATAAGTTCTGAAATAGGATGTCATGGCTCTGATACTTAATTTGCATAATTGAGCAAATTGTGTAGCTTTTGGGGTCTTCAGTTCATTGTCTATAAAATGGTATGAAGATTAAGTGAGATGATACCATCTTAGTAAGTCCTGGATACACATTTACTGGTCTACTATTAAAGCACATGCGAAAGGTTTAACTCCAAAGAGAAGGAGGAACTCTTTATTCTTTAACACAAAAGGGAGGAAAGTTTAACTGTAAGGGTGTCTTGAGGCAGGGTTCCAAGGAATATTAACGTATTAAGATGGATTTAGTTATACCTTCCTTATATTTATTTAGCATTTCACAGTTTATGAAGTGTTTTCTTATATACTCTCTCATTTGATTCAATAAAGAAAGGAGGGATATAATTTTTAAATGTAAAGAAACAGAAGCTTGAAGAGTCTAAATTATTTGGCTGAATGTACAAGGCTTAAGAGGTGAGCAAGAATTAGAAATGCTGAGCTTTGGACTCAGTGACCAATATTCTCCCCAAACAGACCAGTGAACAGGCTACAGACTAGAAGCCAGAAGTTCTGGCCCTGGCTTTGCCAAGTTCTAAATACTACCTTGAACAAATTACTTTCTCTCTCCAAACTTCATCTATAGGATGGGAATAACAGTTCCTTCCAATGTCAAAGGTAGCCACTGAGGTGAGGAAGCTCTTTGCAAACTCTGAAGTACCTTACACATGCAAATGATTATTATTTCCATTGTTCTGCCTGCTGCCTCTCATTGGTAACATCATTAGAGTCATTTATATCTCCTATTAACTACATATGTCTTGTATTAAGTGTGATATAAGGGAAAAGAACCTTAGTGTTTCTCTTCCCCTTTTCTGTATCTTCCTCCCCTAGGGGATTTCAAGCTTCCAGGAGCTAGTTCCAGAACATATTTACTTTTAGTTCACTCATTAAACACAAACTCACCTATCCTATATTCTATACTTATAAATCTTTGTTTCTTGCATGCATCTAAACCATACCGAGGAAATAAGAATATTCCTGAATTAGGGCTGGGAATGGTGGCTCGTGCCTGTAATCCCACCACTTTGGGAGGCTGAGGCGGGCAGATCACTTGAGGTCAGGAGTTTGAGACCAGCCTGGCCAACATGGTGAAACCCTGTCTCTACTGAAAACACAAAAATTACCTGGGCGTGATGGCAGGCGCCTGTAATCCCAGCCACTCGGGAGGCTGAGGCAGGAGAATTTCTTGAACCCGGGAAGCGGAGGTTGAAGTGAGCCAAGATTGAGCCACTACACTACAGCGTGGGCAATAGAGTGAGACTCTATCTAAAAACAACAACAAAAAATTATTACTGAATTAATATCTTTCTATTCTCAGGTAAGAGGTATGTTCACATCGTTCTTAACCCAAAAGGAGCTATCGAATGCTGAGAATCGTGGCGTGGCTGTATGGAAGACATTTTAAGGCATAGAACAAGTCTAGGGATTGTCATATAACCTCAGATGGCCACTTGTGCAGGCTTTTTGAGAACCAACGTTTACTGCATGGTCCCTGATTATTACTGAGTCCAAAGATGGAACTATTTTTTTAAGAGTTTTTTCCATCCTGTAATTGAAAACAAAATTTAAATGAAGAGTATGGTCATGTCATTTAGAATGATCCAAGCAGGAAACCCCTTGAAGTTTCAATTATAAAGAAGATGCCTGTGTTTTATTTTTGAAGGACCCTGTGGGACAATCCAGTATCTAGCCTATAAAACGCCTTGTGTTATTCCGTCGTGTTCCATGTTGTCCTTCAGGCTAGTCACTGCGCATTTTTGTCTCACTGAGCTAATTGTATGTGCCACATATTGATCAAAAATAATTTCATGGCCTTTAGCTTCTTATTTTAAGAACTGAGCAAATGTGCTGATTTGTATAAGTAAGACAGAATGGAGAACTTTCCTGGGAAATGAGAGATATTTTGAAAACAACTGTCATATTGAAGACTCAGGGAGGCTTAATTAGCTGACGCTTGCAAAGTACTTTGAAAAATCAAAACCATGATGTCCTTGCTAAGTATGATGAATACCATTTATTCTTGGATGAGTAAAAAGTCATTTATTTTGAGACATTCGAGTTTGGTGTGCACTGACTACAAAATACAGATTATTTTTGCAGAAATAGAAAATAAAACTCCAGATGAAAAATGCAAAAAATGAGACAAATTTTGGAACACACGGAGTTATTATTCTCAAAGACTTAAATATGCAGTATTGATGTGAAACTAAATAAATATTATTTTGCTCAAATGCATGAGCTTATTCAAAGGCAGCTCTATAGTTTAAAGGACAGCTGGTGTGGAACTGGAAGATCTAAGTTCCAGAGTTGAACTGCCTTTTACCAGCTAAGAGACTTTGGTCAAGTCACTGGTTTCTTCATCTACAAAAGAGGAAAAATAATAATACATTTTCTTATCTGTCTTCTGGAGTTGTTTTGAGATTCAAATGTGATCCTACAGTTATTTGGTAATTTCACCAACTGTAAAACTGAAATGAAAGATGTTATCATATCTTTGAAACACTCATAAGGCAGAAAATGGCTTAATAACCCCAATAATGAATAATTCAGACACTTTAATTCATCCCTTTACTAGAGTCCTCAGGTTATTTCTTTCTTTCCTTCATCCCACTATTTCTTTTCATGGATTTAGAGAGGTTAAAGATGAGGGATGATGGGTAACTGGAAGGAGAGCCCT